TGAGTCTCCCTAGCTTTTGATTAGGATTTTAGTTTCAGATTTATAGTTTTTTGTTGATATGTCTGTGCATTGTATCATTTCTTTAGGCAAATACATTGATAAACCCACAGCCTATCACCACATTTCAACAGAAACTTAAAGATAAAAAAGAGTCTATATATTATAGCAATCAGTGGGCACCATTAGGAAAATCTCACGATCAAACACCGGGATTACCTAAAGGACTGGACATAACCAATACAACATTTGGGACACCAGTCATCAGAGGTAGTAAAACATAAGGGGAGTATAAAATAAGTCTTTTGGGAAAATGGAGTTAAATATACCATTGGTGTGGTTTTTGGTGATGTAAATGATTATTCAAAGAATGAAAGAGCTGAGTGTGGTGTTTACCTGTTATGCCAGCTGCTTAGGAGTCTGAGCTGGGAAGATGGCAGGTTTGGAGCTTGTCTCAGAGAGGGAGAAGGAGAAAGAGAGAAGGAGAGCAAGAGAGAGGGAGGGAGAGGGAAAAGGAGAGAAGGGAGAGGGGAGAGGAGAAGAAAGAAAGGGAAGTGTGGTAAATGTAGACTGTAGTGAGGCATTGAACTCTTTACGTGGCCCACACTGGTGTCAAACACATGCTCCTCCTGCCTCCGTTTCCTGAGTGCTGGGATTGCAGATGTGCTCCGTCATGTGCAGTGAAGGGAAATTTTTGCTGTTAGGTTGAAAGGGAAGATTGAAATAGTAAATGGAGTTAGATTTTAAAATTATTATGCAAAACAGTGGCAACAGAACAACTCACCAAACATGAAACTAGGGACCACCGCTCATTGGAAAAGCAGCTCTGAAACAGCTTATCTAGAATCTGGACCAGTCAGAAAAAGACGCTTTTCCAGGTTCTAATGATTTCCCAAGCACCTTTGGTGACGTTGGGGATGGAAATTCATTAAGAAAGAGTCAGGGTCTGTGTTTCACTCTACAGCTGCCAGAATTTGTGGCCACCCCATAGGGCATTAGGGTCTCTAATTTAAAATTTGTATTGGCTTAGGTCATGTTAAGAAGTTGGGAAGAAACTAAAATCAAAATTTTCTAGAGAGTCATAGGGTTGGGGATTTAATTGAGCTTGGACCACAGCTCAGAACAACCTAAATGGTTGACTGACACAGAGTTCTGGTAGTCTTCAGAGTTCTAGGTAGTAAGAGTTCTCTGGATTATATCTTGTCTTCCTGGAAAACTTTTCACTTATGTTGGCTTGTGATCCCTCAGGATGTCTGCGTACCTTGTACATTGATCATTTGTTCTTGTCAGTTTAAGTACATGACAAATAGATACTTCAAAGCTGATTCCATTGGTTCTTCCTTCAGAACTCTCGGCTAGAGAAGTAGTGAATCCACCAAAATCCTATGAGGAAGTATTTAAAGAAGGAAAAGAAGGACATGATTTGTATGTTGTTTCTCATAACGATTACTATGTGGGTAAGTGGCCTCTGGCTATTTGTGAAGAAGATCAGAGGGTGTAATGTTCATATGTTAAGCTCAGGGCCTGGCCATTAACGGGCAATCAATGAACGGTAATTTAGTATTATTATAAGGTCCTAAATCCTTCTAGGAACCTTGATAGGGAGGACATAAACCCCGGTAAAGAACACATGTACATATACTTTAGTTCCTGGGGATCAAATCTTGGGCCTTCCACTGAGCTATCCCCCCTGCCCTACTTATACATTCTGTACATAAAATATAAAAACACATGTATTTTTATATTAATACATGTTAATTATTACACATGTATTAATTATTAATACATGGATTATTACACATTAATACATGTGTTTTCTTTAGTGCTTTTAGATTTAAAAGTTACTGTCCTTATTCGAATGCTGGGCTTACTCTAAGTGCTAGTTTTAGATAAAGAACTCTAGGTGATGGTCAAGTGCACATTTTTTGTTTTGTCTTTTTGAGACAGGGTTTCCCTATGGAGATCAGGCTGGCCTTACACTCACTTTGTAGCCCATGCTGGCCTTCGACTCACAGAGCTCCTCCTGCTTCAGCCTCCTGGGTGCAAGGACACATATTTTTGATTCAGATAGGTCAGGTTCAAATCCGAACTCATCTGTTTACTGTCTTTTAGATCGTGAATCTTTTACTTATTTGATTATCACCATCCTTATGTCTTGAACAGGTATACTAATAATATTATGAGATTGAATACATACAAAATGATGGGCATAGCCCTGGAACATGGTAAATGTTCATATCTGTTAGCTATGTTTATTATTACTAAGTGATGTTCTCTAATAGTAGTAGAATTATTCTGTGGCACAAGTAAAGGGCATTAAGTTTTGTAGTGCTTAAATAAAACTTAATTGACAGTGTACTGATGTGGGTAGATCGGTGTAGTAGAGGACTGGGAATTACCCCGATACATGCCCGAGAAAGCCCACGGTGGTGTGAGATTCAAGGATTCTCGGTTAGTAGAAGTGAGAGCTGCCCTGCGCTGTGGAGCAGCACGCTTTCTGACTTGTTCCTTTTCTGTATTTCTTCCCTTTCCTCCCCGTTTGTCTTTTAACACCATACCACCTTTCTCTGTTCTTTCTCTCAAACTTTTGTCCCTGACCAGGGCTTGTTTCCTACCCCATTGCTCTAGTGCTTGGGTTTCTCACTCTCCTCTTTCATAACTAATCTCTCTAGGTTCCCACACTCCTTCCTGTGTTCCCAGTCCTGAGCTACCCCTGTCTCCCCTTCCAAGTGAGTCCCTGCGCCTGCCCACTTGGACACCGCATGGCTCCCCCACCTCAGCCCCTCACTGTATCTCTGCTTTTCCTCTTTTTTTCTGGGTCTTTTTGAGGCAAGGTCTCGCTATGCAGTTGAGGGTGGCCTTGAGCTCACTTTGTAGCCCAGGCTGGTCTCAAACTCATGACAATTCTCCTGCCTCAGCCTCTCAAGTGCTGGGATTACAGGCATGTGCCACCACGCCCTCTGCTCCTTCTCTTCTCCTAACCCTCCTTTCCTCTTTTCTTTATCCCCTTCCCTTCCTTCCTCTCTTCTGAAAATGTCTGATGTATTTTGAAAAACCTTGTCATCTATGCTACATCCAATACAGTGCCTTCTATTTGTTTTAAAAAGAACTGTGTTGGGGCTGGGGATTTAGCTCAGTGGCAAAGCGCCTGCCTGGCAAGCGTAAGGTTGTGAGTTCAATTCCCGGTACAGGAAAAAAACTAAAACAAACAAACAAACAAACAAAAAAACCAAACAAATAAAAAGAACTGTGTCAATGAATGTGTATATACACACAACCTATAGTGAGATGTAAGCATTAATGGTCTGAAGAAATTTACTATAGGTTTTTTATATTTAGAATAGCTCTAATGGACCATATAGGACTGAAATTACTTTCATTTGCTGGTTTTTTTAATGGAAGTTTCATTAGCCTCTTGAAAGTCATAGAATCTCATTCTTTAAGCATTGTTAATCATTTTTCTCATAAGGAAAGTAGTTCCAGACCAGCCTGAACTATATAGCGAGATCCTGTCTCAAAAAAACCAAAGAACAACAAATAGTAACCACCCCCATAAACATACTAGTGAATTTAAACATTAAAAATGAGGAAAAAGTAAGTGTAATGATAAATCCTTTTCTTTTTTAAGTTAGGGTCCTATATATTCCAGGCTGATGTGGAACTCACTATGTAGCTGTCAGTGGTCCTCCTGCCTCAGCTTCTGGAGTGCTGGGATTACAGGCGTGACCCACAGTGCCCAGCGATAAATCCTATTAGCCAGAGATAACTTTGGTTGATAAATCAAATGTTTTTCTAATCTCCATCTGTTGAGCCTTTAGGTAAATAGAATACTTTACATGCTTTTAAGAAACCTACTGTATACATTAAAATTTTTCTACAAAATTTATCAAGGACTTCATTCAACAACAATAGATTCATAACATCTTTAAAATATATTTAATCTCAACTAAAGTAATAGGTTAATTAATAGGTTAAATTTGCACTTTTATAAAGTGCAAAATATGTAAATACACAAGAATATCTCCCTCAAATACCAACCTTTCACATAAGCTTTTCTTTGTACATTCATCTATATGAGGGATATATGTGTATTTAATCATATATATAATATATTACATTGTATTATAATATAAATCATATATATTATATATGGTTTATTATATATATGCATATATATTTTTTTTCTTCATGTGAGATATTTTGGAAGGCAGCTATGCACTGTACCACCTACACCTCTGTGTGTGAGATATTTTGGAATGTCTCTCCCCAACCGTTATTTTATTCTGAGGAAGGATCTCCCTAAGTTGCTCAGGCAGGTCTTGATCCCACAATTCTTCTGCCTCAGCTTCCCTAGCACCTGAGATTGTACATATATATGAGCATGCCAAGCTTGGAATGACTTCTTTACTTTTTCCTTCTCTCTCTCTCTTTCTCTCCTTTCCTTCCTTTTTTCTTTCTTCCTTCCTCCTTTCTGCACTAGGGATCAAACCCATGGCCTAGCCCATGCTAGTCAAGTGCTTTACCACTGAGTCATACCCTTGGTCTTTCTTACTCTTCTGTTTATTTTGGTTCTGGGAGTGCCATGCCTTGCCTAGGTAAGCTCTCTGCCACTGAGCCACACCCTCCACCCACCTCCGCCTGTCTGTTCGTTGTGTGGTAGTCAGGCTTCAACCCAGGGCCTTCCTGAATCCCCAGCCCCTTTTTATTTTTTTTAATTTTGAGACAGAGTCTTGCTAACTTGCTAAGTTGTCCCGGCTGAGCTCAGACTTGTGATTCCCTGCCTCAGCCTTCCAGAGCACTGGTATTTCAGGCATGTCCCACCACGCCTGACAGAATACCTTTTCATGTCAGTATCTGTAGGGTATTTTTCATTCTTTCAAAACTGTCTCCTTTCTGTACCTTTGTGAGTGTGGTCTGCTCTTTCTTTAGATTATATTCCTTGATTTCTCAGCATTAGAAGTTTTCATTCCTAGAGCCAAACTGTCCTCTCAGGTAGCTGCTTCAGTTTGTCCGCAAACTCAGCAATGTAAGAAAATTTCCATTGCCCTCCTCTCCAAAAGTGAGTTTAGCCAATCTTTATTTTTGCTTAACTGAAAGATGGTTATGGTTTATTGTTACTGATTTTATTTATATTTACGTTATATGGATTACTAGCCAGGCTGAGTGTCTTTTCTCTATTTTTTTGGGGGTGGGAGGATGGTGGTGGTTCTGGGGATTAAACCCAGGACAGTGGCATGAGCTACATCCCCTGCCTTTTTTTTTTTTTTTTTAGATAGAGTCTGGCTAAGTTGCTAAGTTGCCAAGGTTGAGCTCAAACTTGCAATCCTGCCTCAGCCTCCCTGAGCCCTGTGATTACAGAGATGTGTCACCACACTTGGTTCTCTATCATTATTATTATTTTTGAGACAGGGTCTCACTATTTAGTGTAGGCTGGCCTTAAACTCACAGTGATCCTCCTGCCTCAGCCTCCTGAGTGCTGGGATTACAGGCATGTGCCACCATGCCCAGTGTCATTTCTGAGCTTGCTGATTGCTCTCAAATTTCAGTTCTACTTTTTTTTTTTTTTTTTTTGAGACAGGGTCTTGCTATGTAGTTCAGACTAGCCTTCAACTCACTGTGTACCCCAGGCTGGTCATGGACTCATGGTGATCCTCCTGCCTCAGCTTCTCACATGCTGGGATTATAGGCGTGCATGCTTGCACCACCACACTTGGAAGTAGCTTGAGATTTTGGAGTGATATCTGAGAAATCATTGCCAAGGCCAAAGAAATATTTTTCTCTAGTCTTAATATTTAGGTTTTTGTCAATATTGAACTGATATTATGTATAGTGTATGGTAAAAGTTTAGCTTCTTTTTTCAATCTTTTTTTTTTTTTTCAGGTGAAAATTTAGTTTTTTTGGCACCATTTATTGTTCAGACCTTCCCTTCCCCATTTTGTCTAATCTTGGTGCTCTTGTCAAAAATTAGTTGACCATATATCTGTTTGGATTTATTTCTAGGTTGTCTATTCTATGATGCTGGTCTATGTATCTATTTTTTATAGCAATATTAAACTATTTGGATTACTATAGCTTTGCCATATAATTTTATTATATTTGTACTTTTTTGGTCCTGGGGATTGAATCCATGCTAAGCATGTACTCTGTCACTGATATATCACTCTATGCCTCTAGCTCCTGCAACAGACTTTTTAATCAGAAAGTGTGGTGCCTCTGACTTTTTCTCTCTGAGATTGCTTTGGCTGTTTGGGGCTTTTATGCTGGTATATTAATTTTTATAATTATTTTTTCTGCAAAATGTTATGATTTTGATAAGAATTGAGTTAGATCTGTTTATGGCTTTGAATAGTAGGAACATTTTGACAATATAGATTCTTATAATCCATAGCATGGAATATCTTTCTGTTTGTGCCTTTTCAATTTCTTTCATTGGTGTTTTATAGTTTTTAGTAGAAAGGCTTTCTTACTTTCTCATTGCTGGGACAAAATACAAGACACCCACAGCTAAAGCAGGAAAAGTTTATTACAGTCCAGCATTTGTAGAGGTTTTAGTCCACAGTTGGCTGACTCCAAGGCAGGGTGGTGTGCAGAGAGGCATCGTAGGGAAAAACAGTTCATGGTGGGAGGAAGACGGGCAAGCAGTGATGTATCAAAGAAGCAGGAAGCAGCAGCAACAGCCCTCTTTCTGTCCCTTGTATCTACTTTTTAAATTTATTTTTTTTTGTCCCTTATATTCTATCTAGGCTATACTCTTAGAATGGGTAGCACTCACACCCAGGGTGGGCTTTCCTTTTTTTTTTTTTTTTTGGTACCTGCAATCGAACTGCTGAGCTATATCCCTGGCCCCGGGGTGGGCTTTCCCATTTTTCCACACCCAGAACTATGTCAAATCAATCAATGGACTAATTTAGTAATCACATACCCTTGATCCCAGCATTACACTCTTTTTTTTTTGGTTTTTCTCCGGTACCGGGAACCGAACTCACGACCTTGCGCTTGCCAGGCAGGCGGCTTTGCCACTGAGCTAAATCCCCAGCCCCAGCATTACACTCTTAATCCTAGCATCACACACTCTAGATCCAGCCACCTCTGAAAATCCCCACCTATGACCAAATGAGGCTTTGGAGGGGACATCTAGACACAAGCCATGACACACTCCCTAGATTCAGCCTGTTATGGTTGATACATTGTGTCAACTTGGGGAGTCTAGAGGTTTGGCTAAGTGACTCAGCAGGAAGCCAGGGTGCTTACTTTGTATATATCCTGAGCCTGTGGAAGAGGAGGGCATGGAAATTATGTGAGAGCTACATGCCCCTTAGGTGGGGGTAGCCTGTTTACAATGTAAGGGAGGGAAAGAAGCTGCTGGCCGCCGTTCCTCCCTTTTGCTCTGGCTGCATTGCTGTTCGGCTGCCATTCTCCCTTTGCTCTTGTTGCTTTGCTATCTTTTGCCTCGGAGCCAGCCAAGTATGGACTGAAACCTCCACAAACTGTAAGCTAAATAAACCTTTCCTTCCTTAATTTTGGGCGTTGGGTATTTTTTCTCAGCAATGAGAGAAAAGTAACCTCCAAAAAGCCCACTATGAGCACATGAGACTTTGGAGGTACATCTAGATAAGAGCCTGCTTGGTCTTTCACCTTGTATGTTAGATTTATTCTTTTTTTTTTAGTCTTTTTGAGACAGGGTCTTGCTGTGCAGTTTAGGCTGGCCTTGAGCTCACTTTGTAGCCCAGGCTGGTCTCGAACTTGCAAGGATCCTCCTGCCTCAGCCTCCCAAGTGCTGGGATTACAGGTGTGGGCCACCACGCCTGGCTAATTCTTAAATTCCAGTTGTGGTGGTATGTGTCTAAAGTCCCAGCCTCTCAAGAGGCTGAGGTAGGAGGATTGCTTGAGTCTAAGAGTTTGAGTGAATATAGCAAGACCATATCTCAAAAACACAACACAAAAACAAAACAAAACAAAACAAAAAAAAAACAATTAAGGGGCTGGGGATTTAGCTCAGCGGCAAAAGCGCCTGCCTGGCAAGCGCAAGGTCGTGAGTTCGGTTCCTGGTACCAGAGAAAAAACAAAAAACAAAACAAAACAAAAACACAACACATAAAAAAAAAACCACATAATTTATATATAAGTATTTTATTGATTGATGTTGTTTTAAATGGGATTGTTTTGTTTTCTGTCTTTGCACTGAGCTACGCCCCCACTACATCCTTGGTTCTCTTTTATTTTGAGACAGGGTTTCACTAAGTTACCCAGGCTGCGCTCAAAATTGAGATCGTCCTGCTTCAGCTTCCCTTGTGCAGGATTATTTTCTTGATTTCTTTTTTTAGAAAGGTAATTATTTTTATAGCTAAATGCTAAGTTTTTTTTGAGGTAGAGTCTTGTAGAGTAGCCCACATTGGCCTGAAACTTGTGATCCTCCTGCCTTAGTCTCCTGAGTGCGGAGGGTACAGGTGTGTACCATCATGGTCCACTGAACATGGATTTTTGTGTGTTGTTTTGTATCCTGCAACTTTACTGAGTTCTTTTATTAGTTCTAACAAGTGTTTTTGTGGAGTCTTTCTCTACATGCAGCTTTCCAAATATTAACACAAGGAACTCGTGTATTGCACCCCACCAGTCTCCCAGCTCATGTGGGGAGTGCTGCTATTGTTGGTAGCCAGATCTGCTCAGTTCCCCATACTGTTATGATTTCATTCTTTGTCTCACTCTCATTTTCAATATCAACGAGGACGTGATGTTTTTCTTAAAAAGATTATTTGTATTGCTTAATTCAAAATCTCCTTCTCCTCACAGGAGAAGCAAAGAACCGAAAGTATAACCCGTCAAGTTTCCATCGGTTTAACTTATTTGGAGTCCCTACACCACATTGTAATGCTGGAAAAAATACTGCAAAGAGTTTATATTGGCTTCATGAACTGCAAATGTAAGTTTAATGAGACTGTGTCTAGGGCTAAGTGTTAGATATTTGACATTTGAAAAGAAATGCTTATTTTTAATTTGTTTTTTGGAGGTAATACACTGACATAATTGAGACGTAAAATTTCAAAAAATATACAGTGAAATGTCTTCTACTTCTGATACACATTCTGTCTGATTCCTCCCAAAGTGAACATGATACTGTTTTTTTATTTGTAGCTTTCTGAAATTACTTCAGGAATTTACAGATAAATATAAGTATACATGTTTGTTTATTTGTTTAATTTTTTGAGACAGGGTTTCAATATGCAGTTCAGGCTGGCCTTGGATTCTTTTGGAACCCCTGGCTGGCTTTGAACTCACAGTGATCCTCCTGCCTCAGCCTCCCGAGTGCTGGGATTACAGGCGTGAGCCATCATGCCCGGCGACTTGTGTTATTTTTAATCCCGAGACAACAAGCACATTTTGTATTCATAAAAATGTAGATTCCCTGTTATGATTCAAAAATAAGTTTGTAAATACTGTGGTGGTATAGTGGGTTGATGATTATAAATACTGGCGTTCTGCCTCCCAATAAGATATGCCCATGTCCTGATTCTTAGAAGCCAAAAAAAAAGGATCTTTGAACATATAAATAAGGATGTTGGGATGGAAGAGCTCATCCTGGATTATCTGAGTGGATTGCTCTGGTATCCTGGATTACCAGACTTTGAAATGGTACATTCCCTTAGTGTGGGAGCGAAATCCGAGACAGAAGAGAAGACTTTGCAGCAGGTGAAGAGAGAGGCAGAAACTGAGCAACGTGGCTGTAAGCGGGGGACACCAAGCAGTGCCGGTAGCCACCAGGCATGGGAAAAGGAAGGAAAGGAGTCTCTCCGAGAGGGTTTGGAGGAAACGAGGGCTGGCAGATGCCTTGACTCCATACCTCTGGCCTTCAGCGCTGTGAGAGAACACATTCCAGTTGCTTTAGCAAGTTTGTGATAATTTGTGCAGCATCCACAGGAAACTAACATACTAGGCCTTCCCTCGCTCCTTCCTTTGCTTCCGTACTCCCTCCCTCTCTCTCTGTTTTTTTTGGTCTTTTTGAGACAGGGTCTCACTATGCAGTTCAGGCTGGCCTTGAGCTCCCTTTGTAGCCCAGGCTGGTCTCGAACTCCCAACGATCTTCCTGCCTCAGCCTCCTGAGTGCTGGGATTACAGGTGTGTGCCACTACGCCTGGCTTCTGTATTTTGTTTGCAAATGCCACAATTTTTTTTCTTTTTTTGGGTACCAGGAATTGAACCCAGGACCTTGTGCTGTGGGGCAGGTGCTTGTGTCACGGAGCTACGTATCCAGCCCTTATATTTTGTTTGGGTACAGAGTTTCAGTTACTAAGTTTCCCAAGCTTGGCTACATTTATGATTCTCCTGCCTCAGCCTCCCAGAGTGCTAGGGTTACAGGCCTGTGCCACCATGCCTGTTTTAGCCCTGCATTCTTTTGTGTCAGTAGTAGATGGAGATTGTTCTGCTTTTTGACTTCTAGGTTTTCACAGCCCCCATGTATTGGTCAGCTTTCCATCACTGGTACAAAATATCTGACACCCTCAACGTGGAAGAGGAGAGGTTTAATTTAGCTTATGGTTTCAGGAGTTTTAGTCCGTGGCTGGGTGGCTCCAAGGCAGGAATATCACAGTGGCATGGCAGAGCAAAGCTGCTTACTTCATGGTGACCAGGAAGCAGAGCAATGGAAGTGCCAGAGAGGAAGGGGCTGGGGATCAGGCAAAGTATTGATGGTCACAGCTCCATGACCCACCCAGACATACCCAGAAGTGTGCTTTAAAAATCCCCTCAGTGGCCAGGTATGGTGGTGCACACCTATAATCCTAGTACTCAGGAGGCTGAGGTAGGAGGATCGCCATGAGTTTGAGGCGAGGCTGGGCTACATAGTGAGTTGAAGGCCAGCCTGAACTACAGAGACCCTGTTTCAAAAAACAAAAATAGCCGGGTGTAGTAACACAGGCCTATGGTCCCAGCACTTGGGAGGCTGAGGCAGGAGGATTCCTGTGAGTTGGAGGCCAGCCTGGGCTACGTAAGTGGGTTCATAGTCAGGCTGAACTACATAGTGAGACCCTGTCTCAAAAACAAAACAAAACAAGACCCAGCCAAACATATAAACCAACCAACCCATCAGTGCTCCCAAGCCAATCAAGTTGACACGATTCAGTTTAACAACCACAGTGGTCCTTTAGACTGTCCTAAGAGTAGAGCCTTCCAGTCATTAATAAGGACGTATTTAGTAATGCTTTGGGGTAGTTAAGAAAAACACTAGATTGATAAGGGCAGACAATATGCAGGGTGCATTTCCCTCCGATTTTCTCTACCCTCTTGGGAGCTTTATTTGTGGAATACTGTCTTATCAGATCATACTTTTTGTATTTTCAAACTTAATTGTAATATTACTGTTAAAAGCAGTAAAGAAATTATTAATTCCTTTGGCTCATCAGATTGAAAAAAGTTTAATACTTCGTTCTTCAGTGCAATTTCTGTTATAAAGCCAAGCATGTTTGCTTACATTTTAAGGCATCTAATTTTATATGTACTATTTAATGTAAAATTGGTATACTCTGAACTTTTAAGGGATGTATTTCTTTGTAAAATTATCTCTGTATTCTGTCTATGACAATTTAGTTTTACAAATCAGTTTGAATCATCAGATGGTAGGCTGTGTGCGTGTGTGCGTGCGTGCATGCGTGTGTGTGTGAATTCACGGCACAAAGAGTATTGTCTGAACTGGCTACTGAATGCTGTTGAGCTGTGCATGGCATTATCTTCTAACATATGTGTCTATCCACAGAAACAGTTCAGTGCTTCCTAATTCTCCCAAGAGCATAATTCAGGCGCTTTCAGACTAAAGAGTTAGTCCTTGGCTGGGCGTGGTGGCATACTGCTTCAATCCCAGCACTTGGGAGGCTGAGCCAGGAGGCTCAGCCTGGACTACATAGAGAGTTCAAGACCAGCCTGAACTATATGGCAAACTCTATCTGAAAAAAAAAAAAACAGAAAAGAAAAAAGAGTTGATCTTGTGCTTTTATCATCCCTGCGTTTTTAAACTAGGCCCCTTGGAGCTAATTTAATTTTTAATTTTGTTTTTGAGACAGAGTCTTGCTGTGTAGTCCAGACTGGTCTTGAACTTACTATGTAGCCCAGACCGACCTTCAACTTGTGATCATTCTGCCTCAGCCTCCCAAATGCTGGGGCCTTAGGCATGAACTACTGTACCCAGCTCTACAGCTGATTTTTTATTTGATTTATTTATTTATTTTTGGTTTTTGAGACAAGATCTCACTATGTAGTACAGGCTGGCCTTGAACTCATTGTGTAGTCCAAGCTGACCTCTAACTCTTGACAGTTCTCCTGCCTCAGCCACCCTAGTGCTGGGATTACAGGTGTGTGCCACCAC